GTTGGTAAGGAAAAGGAAGTGTTTTGCCGACAACCAGTTCACATACTGTGATTCAAATTCCATCGTCAAAAAGTAGGTAATTAAATTAAATTACATACGTACATGGATATAATAAACTGGCACGAGTTTATTAGTTACCTCATACCACTTTATTTGCCATTGCATCTGCATGGCAGCGCCATGAACCTGCGAGTAGTGAGAGATGGAATCATCATATTGGCTGCTAAGTGCAATATAGTGTTGTCATCAGTATCCACTGATTCAATAAGGTCGTCCCAAAGATTAAGCTTTAATGTTTTGTTGTTGACTTGTTTACGAACTGCCTCAATAACCCAGGGTTGCCTGTTCTCCACTGCCACCTGCAATATATTCTTGTCCTTCGACGTGGTATCGTAGATGGACACCGGTAATTGGCTTAGAATTTTATTCACGACTTCAACTACACCTCCCCTGGCTGCCACCAACAAGGGCGTATAAAATTTCTGTCTCCTTATCTGTTATAGGAAGTGAATAAATAATCAGCAAAAGTAAATAAGATAAATAATTAAAAAATTATAGAGAAATTAAAAAAATGATATAAAATGACACAGGAAATTTAACGTGGAAAAACTCCCAATTTGAGGGACAAAGAAACCCACGGACAATGAGCAAATAATTTCATTATAGAAAATAAAAATTTCAATAATGGTCTTTGCTATGAGAGATGGAAAGACGAGATATATATATATATATAGAACTCCTCATCAGCATCTTAAATAATAATAAAAATATATTCTAAAATATCAAATAGAGATATGATAGATTTACATTAAAATAATATATAAAATAATCACAAAAAATTGTAAAGATTTAAGTCAAAAACAGCCCTAATAGAAATAAATGGATCTGTTTAGAATATTATTCAAAGTGAGGAAATCAGTACAATATAAAGAGTCTGGAGACTCATGTGAGAATGACATGTGTACATGTGATGAACCACTCTCAACCACTTGACAAGCGGTTCAGTTTCCATGCTCATCCCACCTATGAGCACTATGTGCACATTTTGGGAATGAGATTTAAACCATTCATATTAAAATTTAAGTTGTTGAGATTTCAAGTATCATTTTATATTATATTGAGTAAAATAAAAATTATAAAATAATTTAATAAATTTTTTATTTAAATTTGGTCAAGATTTAATTTAGAGGATCCAAATTTTATTTTATAAATAGAGGATCCAATTTAATATTAAAATTTTTATAACTGATGTATATTAATTATTCAAATGTACTCTGCTCATATCAAAGATGAGCACTTACTGTGCCTAATATTCATCCATGTGTCAAATACTGCAGAAGATATTGTCTTTTGATTTGAAAGAACTGAAAATCGAATGGATTGTATTGTACCATTCTGATGAGCTTCACCAGCCGTTGGTGGATTTTGCTTTCTTGGATCAAACACTTTGCTCCCTCCGGGGCCTCTTCCATAAGTAACAGAAACGTATGTTTCTCCAGTTTCCAGGAGCGCATTCAATTCCCAACACTCCACGCATGCTTTTCTTTCTCTTCCCTTATTTTGCTAACTATGTTATTCCCTGTCAAGTAAATTCACACGAATCAAGCATAAATTTGACTCAGATAACATGAGCCACACTATTTACATCTTATAAAATGAGTAGAATATGCAAATAATATGTGGCCTCTCATAAGTTTTAGATATTTATAACGAGAGAGCAAGAAATGAAAGTTGAAGGAGCATACCGGCCAATCCCATGAAGCGAATCAGAATTTGGTAGACAGACACCGAAACTTGGCAACAGGTAGTATAATTCTGTGGAATATCTTTATTAATATAGGAGTTATTTGGGGCCTCAGGATCCCCTCCATTCTTCTCTCCTGCGCACCAACAGATCATGAATGCATGTTTGGATGTGAAAGGAAAATTATTCCCTCTCTGATTTGAATTTGCTGATTTCTTATACTTTTTGTGTGTCAAATATTTGAAATAGTATATTAAAAATAAAAATTATTTTGTGTTTGTTGAAATTATGTTGTTTTGACTTTTTATTATCAAAACATGTATACTTTAATGTAACTTTTAATTTTCATCAAAACGCCTTCCATAAAACATTTTATTTCAATATTTTGAATTAAGTTGGAGGACGATTCAGCTAACAAAATAAAAATGAAACCAATATATATAGCGCACAAACTTTCATTTAATTTTAAAAAATAAGTGTATTATTAAAAAGCGGGGCGATCCAGTTGTATGCTATTTAATTTTACAAACAAAAATCTCAGAGAAAATTTATCCAAATTTTGATGTTCGAAAATTTTTACCACGTTGGCTGCCAGATGACTTGGCCGGTCGCCGCGCATTCTCGTTAATTTTCCCACAACATTCCGGCAGATCGACATTGACACCTTTCGTCGAAAACACGCTAATTATCAATCAGCAATGCATACGGCCAAAGCTGGCAATTAATCTCATTTTATTTTTTTTCCCCTGGAAAGAATACTAGCTAGCGTTGTGGTATCATACTTACAGTTAGTATATGATCTCCTTCCACCACGATAGGCTCAGGCCACTTCTAAAGGCAGAACGTTTGCCAGCAAGCACATGAAGAGGAGTCTCTCCCTTCACATTGGCTCTGCCCGCAAGATCTGGGCACATTATGATTACGTAGAATGCCAGATCTGCATATATATGTTTGATAATATTTGCAACACCAATAACCATTCATTCATTATATCATCTGTAGAACCTGCAGTCAATCAAAATAACCTATATATATAAGATGCTCACCCAAACCATATATATATAAGATGCTCACCCAAATGCTCTCTCCTAATGACACAATGAAGTACAGTATCTCCAGAACTGTCCATTCTTGTGAGAAGTGTTTCTGGGTGCTGGCATATGTCAATGGCAGCCTTGTGGAGGAAGATGAAGGCGGCTTTACGGTTGTAAAGAGCCGCTGTGAAATGGGTGTCTCGCCCCATTTGTTAGGAATACCGAGCAAATCCGTCTGCATTCTCCGTCCTGCCTCCACGATGTACTCACACATTGTCACCGACTTTCTTGTGGCTGCACGATGCAGAGGGGTTTCCCCTCTGCCATTCTGCATTATCAGAGCTTTTTCGTTCTTGTGATTGACGATTGATTCTACCATGCTCTTCACTTCTTCTTCTCTGTTATCACTGATGGCCACGTGCAGTGCCGTGTCTTTTGAGCTCACTGGTATGATCACTGTGCTCTGAACCCCTGGTGTTTTTTTATATAACTCGGTCACCTTTTCCCAGTCACATTTGAATGTGGACCGGTATAATAATTCAATTTCCTGATCAGTAGCTGGTGGAAGACTCTCAGTCTCTGGCTCTGAACCTGGCCATGAAAAAGGATGTTCCATTTGTTTGAGTTTGTTGATGAAATGATTACCACAATGTTCGCTATTTCGATCACCATTCATCATCTGGGTGCTGTCATTTTATACCAAACTCTGCACTTCTTCAACACGCGTTAACATAAATAATTGATGAGTACTAGATTGCTTGATTAGCTTCAGAACTGAAAAAGATATGGTATAGGACTGCAGGTGGGGACAGCGTTAAACTGAATAAAGAAAAGAAAGAAACAAAACAAAACAAAAAAAACAAAAAGAAAAATAGCGTACCTCGTAAGCTAAAAAAAAGTCATAAATCCATCTAACCTATGTTTTTTTTTTTTAATTTCTTGCAGAAACTACTTTTTTTTTTAAACCGAAACTGAGAACTGTATTAAAATCTAAACCCAAAAAGGTACCCAAAAAAAAAAGTTTAATTACAACTAGCATATTTCCTCTCATCATCTACTACCTCGAAACAAATAAGTGGCGGTTACGTTGCTAGATAATTTTAAAATAGATTTATACTGTAACTTTTTATAATATAGAAATGTATGCCTTGCATAATAATCACAATGATTATACAACAAATTACAATTACGCTAAATACATATTTATAAAATGAACTACTATAATATTTTCTTTATATAACTAATATGTTAATCCATATGTGTGTTTACACACTTATTTGTTTTGAATACTAAAAAATATAAAAATATAAATAATTAATCCAAGATCAATAACAATATTAATTAAATCAATCCAACAATCAAAATACTCATATAAAAATATTCAATTAAATCAACTATTATGAAGTATAAATTTGAGAATTAAAATAAAGATTTGAAGGGATAAATTCATCTATTAAAATACCTAACTATACAAATATTCAATTAAATCAACCGATCACAACACCAACAGGCAAAAAAATTAAGAAAATAAATAAAAATAAAAACTTATAGTAGAAGAGCTAGCAAAATCTCTCTAATGGAAGAGAAGGATGGAAGATGAGCAACACTAAATTGAAATAGCAAGGAGGGAAACTATAGTGGAAGACCCACACACTGACAGCCACTAACATACCACCTATGACAACTCACACACTACCCACAACCAAGAGAGTAGAAAAGGAATGAAAAAGTACTTCGAATGAAAGAGAAATATAAAGATGGAAGAGAAATGTTTACTCCATAAAAAAATGGAAGAGAAATAAAATATGCATATCTATGAAACGAAAATAGTAATGGTGACAGTGAAGGGTGGCAAGGTGGCTATGGAATAGTGACCGACGGGACTTCAAATGTCGGAGGGAGGAAAAAGATGATAGCTTTGAGTAAAACTGAAGAAAAAGAGATGAGAGTAGATTGACATTACGGATCTAAAAAAGCTAAAGAAAAATAAACCTGAAGAGTTGCTTCTGCAACTTTTAAATTTTAAATTGAAATACCACATTGGTTTTAGAAAAAACCGAGGTGGTATTTATATTCCACATTGATTATTTTGAAACCAATGGGAAAAAGAAGCAAAATTATAAAATTAAAAAAAACATTTTTTTAAAAAACCAATGTAAAAACTCTTTTAAAAAAATTATAAAATTATTACCACTGCTCTTTTTTTTTACTTCGGTTTTTTATAAAACCGACGTAAATTAATGATATTAAAAATTATTTTTGTAACAGTAGTTGCATGATGCATGAAGATGCAGTTGAATAAGTGTACAACTACAAGTTTGAGAGAGAGAGAGAAATCAAAGGATCAAAGCAGAAAATATCGAAGGTCACAAAAGCTAGTAAGTATGTATATCCTTTGCTTCTTGTATATTGACGGGAGAAATGTTAAACAAGAGTCATCAACACAAAAGGTGAGAGGTAAAAAGAGACAAAGAAAATTTATAGACAGGCAAAATGAAGCGAATCCCGGGGCTTTTGCCACTACACATATATAATATAGGTCATCCACAGAATACCAATCGTAAGCTGGACAATGACTTTCCTCCAAAGTTTCTACAGTTTACACAGGACCCAGGGACAAACTTTTCTATTCATTCAGAATCTCCGAGATGAAATCTGTTCATATTCATGACCGTTCAATTTATCATGTTTCTTTTTAAATTGCCAGAAAAATACTGGCTTCCCTTGTTGGATCAAGCTAATTTCTTTATCCTAAAAGGAAAAAAACTATAGGCATATTCTGTTGAATCGTGGGAGATATAGGAAATTCATGAACGTGAGATTAATTACTTTGTACATACTTGTAAAATTATGAATAAAAACATGTCTAGTAAATTTTCAACCTGGATATTATAATTAAAATATTCCATTTTTTGTTAATTTTATATTTTTGTATCTTACTTAATATTTAAAAATAGACTTATTAAAATTATATTTAAATTAAAAACGTAAAGGGAATAATAAGACTTATAACATCCAAACCACAATATCACAATTCAGTTAAAATTTGAATTAGAGATGCAGACTTCCATTGTATTTTAACAAATATAATTTTTAAATGAACATTTACAATATATATTTTTATATATTTCAAATAATAAATATTAATTTAAAGGAATAATATATTATTAATCCTTTGAATTTAGAAAAAGATGGAGGGACCAATGACGGTTTGGTCTGGTAGAAGAAGTTGGACCCTCACAACATAACCAAACAAAGTTTTTAGTACCCAACTGTATTTTGAATATAATTGTCTCCAATAAAATAATAGATATGAGCAATCAAAAGAAGAAGATGGAGGAACATATATACTTTATATGTTTATCAAATAAATCACAACATAATAATAAGAGTTAATAGAAATATTGTCAGTAAAAATATCCATTTATCTTAATTTTGTTGAAATAAAAATAATGTAGTATTTTAAGTATATGAGCTAGTTTTTGAGTACCTAATTGCTTTATTACATAAATTTAATTTGAGCGATTTTAAGAACAATTAATGTTGACTAGTTGATATTCATATCACGCGTGTGCGTGCGTATCGGCTTTTATGCGTATTGTGTAAAGTGTAAACTTGGAGGTGTTTCGCTTGACGCTTGGTATAGTCTGATAGTACAAGTTATTGTATTTAATTACTGGCCAAAAAAATTATATTTAATGAGGTCTTGCAAAGTAACATGAAACAATACATATCAAAAATTTCTTTACATATTGTTTTTTTTTTTAAAAAAAAGACGAATCGCAAGCGTTTTTTCTTTGAGCGAGGTTAATCATATATATTTAACTGGAGGGTTTTATTCATATGCAAAGCACAAAGAACGCAAGGCAACTATTTAAGTTCAGAAAAAATAAGTTCAAATGCTATCAATGGTAGATTTGGATGCAAGAGGATTTGGATTTCGATTTAACACCAAATATTCTATCATTTAAATACATAAAAATCATTGGATTTTAGATTTGACCAAATCCAAATACATGTTTTATACAAACTATTTGTAATTATAATTTCAAATTCCATCTAGAGTTTAGTTATCTAAAAATTTCACATACTTCTTCTTTTATTCACGTTTTTACTATCAATACATATATTAATTTCACCACTCCTCTCATTTTTTTTTGTTCTTATCTCTTACAAATTGAAAAATAGAGATAAACTCGTCACTCTCAATTTTTCATTTTTGCTTCAAATTTTAGCTCATCTCTCTTTTATCTTTAAATTTTTTTTACATTATCTAAACAAAAATTCTAAATATGATATTTTAAATATAAAATTTAAATTTAAATCCATCAATCCAAATATAACTCAAGTCAATTGGGAGGGGAACAAACAAACCAAAACAAAAACAAAAAAAAATACATGAGTTAAATGAAAATAAAAAGGTGGAAATTCCCCACGAGATATATATATATATATATATATATATATATATAAAACACGTACCATAGATGGCCAAAATGATGTGATTGGGGAACCTTGGTAACAATGGCTTTGAAAAGATCCAGGTAGAGCCGAAACTGTGCGATTGCATTGACGGAAACAGGAAGGCAAATGGCAGCGAAAAGAAGGAACACTCCATTCTTAAATTTGTCCTCAAGCACGAAGAAATGTGCAGCGCGGAAAGAGATGAGCATTGAGACAATGTACACAAACAATGAGCTTAACATCCCGTATTAGTCAATCAATTCAACTAATCAAGTAATAATAATATATATGTGATAACAAAATTTTTCATCCTTCAAATTTATCTCAGTTAATGATTCGGTTGCTTAAATTTAATGTTTGTTAATCTGATTTTATTATGTTTTTGTAAATTATCATATAACTTCTTAAAGTTTTGAAACATTTGTTCTCAAAATAATCTAATGTATAAAGTATATTGATAATTCGACATGTACACACAACTACATGACATGTGTATATGATTCATTTTCCTTTAGCACATGGTGGAAAATCTTGATCATTCTCTGAAGCTGACCCTGAAAAACGAAATTCCATTTGTTTAAGTTTGTTGATGAATAAAAATTGGTGACCACAATATAATGAGCTACTTCGATCACCATTCAAGGTGATGTCATTTTATACCAAACTCTGCACTTCTACAACGCGCATTAACATAAAGAATGAGTAGCAGATTGCTTGATTAGCTTCAGGACTGAAAAAGATAGACAGGTGGAGGACAGAGTTAATCAGAATAGCGAAAAGAAAGAAAGAAAGAAAATAGTGTAGCCAGCAAAAAGCCAATAATAATCCATCCGACCTATCTTTTATGTATAATGGGGTTTTTTAATGGTGCAACGTTATCCGAACTTTTTAAAAACGGTATAATGTCTCATGAATACCAATTGTATACTTCTTGCTGGACACTTTCAAGTAGATTTATACTTTAACCTTTTATAATAATATAAATAGATGTGCCTTGCGTGTTCATAGATGAGACCACAAGAATCACGAAAAGCAGAATGATTTTACCTCTTGCAAGTGGTGCAGGGAATACTCACACATCTCCGTGAAAAGAAGAGATGGAATGCATAGAATAGACAAGAGGATGACGCAAACAGACCAGCTTCTAAATTCCTACGTGTTGGGAAAGATTCATTCTAAGGTGACGACACTCGTATGAGCCAATGACACTAT